GGACCCGTTCAGGTGACAGCAATCTGGCCTTGCTGACCCAAAACCACAGCCAGACTGGGAAGGCCACACGCTGTGCTGGGCCAGCACAGATGAGGGATCTGAGGTCTCCACAGATCTGCTGGATGAAAGGGCTGGAGCAGGAGGGAACCAGCTGAGGTGAGGCCAGGGCTGCTACCCGGCCTTTCCCTTCTCAATGTGATAACCCTTCCCTTCTCTCTAGCATCACCGTGTGGCCACCACATCCATCAGGAGTCACACACTCATCCCAGCGTTCTCCAGCCTTAAATATTCATTTACTACAAACCAAACAGCCCGAGCTGCTCTTTTATTAACTCTCATGGGAACCAAAGGCAAGAGGTGCTCCTTCATCCCCCAAACCACAGCAGTTCAGCCTGGTACAGGCAACTTGTGCCTGTCATCCTCCTGCTTGTGCCTCCACAGCAGCTGCCTCTTGCCCTCAAACAGCATGATGCCAGCAGCAATGGCAGAGTTCAAGCTGTCCACACCTGGCACCACGGGAATGACCAGTCTCTTCCCCCCCGTGCTGGCTGCAAGCCGAAGTGCGGCCGGACTCAGGCCGTGGGTCTCCCCTCCGATCACCACGGCCACTGGAGCTCGTGCCCAGTCCTCGTAGTAATGCTGTGCAGCCAGCTCTGGGATTCCTGCTGCTCCCTCCTCATCCTCATGCTCAGGAGATTGGAGCATGAGGTCCTGAGGGCTGGATTTCACAGGAGCTTTTGGGCTGGTGGGAGCTGAGCCAGCCCTGTCAGCCCCTCTTGGCACGGACGTGGTGCCGGCCGGAGCGCTGGGGTTGTTGTCGGCCACGCAGACCTGGATGCCGGCTGGGAGGTTGGTGGGAACAGATTCCCAGTCCAGGTTGGTGATGATGGGCACACGGAAATGAGCCCCCATGCCTGCACGGAGCACTTTTGGCTCCCATGGATCCACACAGCCTGGGAAGGAATGGGGAGAAACAGTGACAGCGCAGGGATTCCCACCGAGGGGGGATTCAGCAGCCATGCCGAACCATGCCAGCCACTCCTTACAAACTCTGGGGAACATCTTCAAGCACCTCATTCCCTGCCTTACCCCCAGACTACTCAAACTTCACTCTTACCTTTGGTGAGCAGCACTTTCTCACAGCCTGCTCCTGCTGCAGATCTCAGAATAGTCCCCAGGTTTCCTGGATCTCGGATGTTGTCACAGATGAGGAGCAGTGGCAGGGAGCTGGCGAGCTGAGCTGCAGGGTAGGACATCTTGGCAGGGTCAGGCTTGGAAAAGATGCCTGAGGAAATGAAGAGTGACAGATTTATGACTGACCCACCCCAAGGAGAGGCCTGGTCTGAGAGAGTTGGCCCAAATCTCTCTAAAGACGTGCTGGAGAAAGTGTTAGGAAAAGCACCACCTAAAGGTAAGTTTGAACAGAGTTTGTCACTTGGCAAGGAAAACTTATTTTCCAGCAGTGCTATGTCTAAGGAAAGAGTATTAAGAGTCATTATCCTAAATATGAAAAGTTTCCCTTCGGGCAGTGTTGCAACTGTTTCAGAGACAACTTACCTAGAAGCCCCTGAGGAGTTACGAGGTCAGACCAGGTCTTAATGTCTTCAAATTTCACCTTAACCAAGCTGGCTCGTTTTATCTCTGCCTCAGGCAGCAGCTTCAGGTGCCCCACAGTGCTGAAGAAGAGTGTCTGTGGCACAGCTCCTGCCTCCAGTGCATCCTTGATCAGCCTGTGCCCCTCCAGCAGAACCTTCCCGTTATTATCCCGAAACTTCTTTGACTTGGCGATAGTCACCACTTTTCTGTGGAGAAATTATTCAGATAATTGTGATGCTGTGATGCTCACACCACCTTCAGTCTGACCTTCAGCAGCCCCTGAGAGCTTCTCTGGGCAGTGACAAAGTTGATCTGAAGGATCGAGCACCTGTCTTAGGAGAAAAGGCTGGGCAACTTGGCTCTGGGGTGACCTTAGAGCACCTTTCAGTACCTGAAAGAGAGCTGGTGAAGGACTTAAGGGCTTGGAGTGCCAATACAATGAGGAATGGCTTTAAACTGCCAGAGGGCAGGATTAGATGGGATATTGGGAAGGAATTCTTTCCTGTGAGGATGGTGAGGCATAGGGTAGCTGTAGCTGCCCCTGGATCCCTGGAAGTGTCCAAGGCCAGGCTGGATGATGCTTGGAGCAGCCAAGTCTGGCAGAAGGTTTCCGTGCCCATGGTAAGGGGTGGAACGGGATGAGCTTTAAGCTCCCTTCCAACACAACCATCCCCCGGTTCTATGAACCCCTCCCGGTACCTTCAGCCTGCAAAGCGTGTCAGCCTCCCCCCTTCCTCCCACGGGCGGAACTCCCCTCCCGTTCAGGAGGGTTCTGAGGGGCAGCACGGCCGGGCCCCGCTCCCCGCGCTCACCCCAGCCTGCGGT